TGGATAGATCTGGACCATTGAGGCTTCGATTAAAAGTCCTCTGTTTGATAGGTGACACCCATGATGATGATGATGATGTTATCCATTCGGTCGAGTTCGACTTTTGGTTTTTCTTTAGGCAAGGTATCTCCATGTCTTCCGATCTTGCACTGTCTCTTTGAGTTGTTCTATGTTCTGGCTAGTGTCAGCTTTGAGGGTGTCCAGCCACCATGCTCCTTGGTGGCCTGGTTTCCTTTTACCATTAACTCTTCCAAACATAATTGTTTTCTCCAGTGAATTCTCCCACATGACAATGGCCAAAGTAAGCGAGACACATTTTTGTCTTCCAGTGACATGTCTGGCGTTATGTGCTCCAGTACTTGCTTGTTAGTCAAGGAATACACAGGAGCCTTCAACAGCACTACTCTCCAATGTCTTGATTTTTGTCCTGTCTTGCCCATTTAATGTACGGGTGAGGCTCATACCAATTTGCATGAGAGTAAGTTTGCCTGGTGGTTAAGGCAGGAATGGAATACTGTGTCCAATTCTGCAGCAGAGCCAGAGGGGAAAATGTGTGACATGCAGAAATCAGGGCAGCATCAAACAGCAACGGCTCAGAACAGATGGTGCAAAGACAAAAAGAAGGGTTTGGCAAGGGCGACAATCCGTCTTAGGCCAGCTTTTGTTTGAGGCCGACTCAGAGATGGGTCCGTCCGTAGCACATTAACTCGGAAGATGAAAGGGTTGTATTGTGAAATACATCTAGTAGGGAAGTTGCTCACCAGTTGAAGCTTCAGGTTTAATTGGAGCTTGTTACATTATCTTGGGTTTCCCTCTCCCTTTCTTCTCCTTTCTGTTTTACAGCTCCCTCCTTTCCATTAGATGGATGCACTGCAAGAATTTCAGCCAGTAGCTTAGTCCACTAGCCAGACTGGCTAAAAGAAGAGTCATGTTTCCACCCTCATTGGGGGTGTGGGGGAGGGGGGAAAGCTAATGGGATGAAATCTGAACTCTGCACCAACCTGAATGGCTGCCTCTGTATCCTTTGTGCTTGAATGAAACCCAGCGATACATGACAGTCACTTCTGCATCTTAAATTATCATTATTATTCTCTTCTCTATTCAAATTTGATCTGGCCCAAATTATAGATTGTCAATCCTTTCTCAACACTAAAGGACACTAGAATTAGATTTGGTATTATGCAAGAATCCAATATCTTAAGCACTGTCTTCAGAAACTGACTATCCTGCTTAAAACCTGGTTGCATGCATTGTTAATTCTCTTGTTTTTTAGTCTGACAGGTTTTTCACACAGGAGATTCTCTTGCAATCCTGCTGCTCCCATAATACCAGAGGCCCAGGGGGCTGAGAGCAGGATAGTAATTGCACAAAAGTCAAGGTGGTATACATAGCAGTTTCTTCTCCAAATCTTTCCCAGGTAGGGTGTGCTGAGATAAAATGGAATGGAATACAATACGTTTTCAAGAGAAGAGAATACAGGTAATCTTCGACTTACAACCATTCATTTAGTGATGAAAGTTACAATGGCATTGAAAAAAGTGACTTACACTTGACCATCGCAGCATCCCCACAGTCAGATGATCAAATCTGGCTGCTGGGCAAAGTGCATTTTTTATGACAGTGGTAGCATCCCATGGTCACAACTGCAGCATCCTGTGTTCATATGATCACCTTTCCAATCTTCCTGCTAGGTTTCTAACAAGTGAGGTCAAAGGGGAAAGCCGGATGCTTAATGACAGGATGATTTGCTTAACTGCATTCTTCGTTTAATGGCAAAGCACGGTTATAAAATCAAGAGCAACATGTTTAATGATCACTCCGCTTAGTAATGGATTTGATGGTCCCAATTATGAGGAGGATTACCTGTGTATGTATACATTATAGGATTAGCTTTTTTTCTTAAGACATAAAATAATACTAGATCTTTTCAGAAAAATTAAAAACAACTTCAGTTTTAAGTCTATAACTGCCACCAAAAGTGTTTGAACACACAGGTTATTCTTTGTAAAAATTAGAATTGCTTTGGGACTCAGACTGGTAAAACCAACAAGCAACACAAATGCTGCAGCTTCCCCAGACATTGCATTCTTGCGAGTTTTTACGAAAACATATCCTGGGTTGTTTCTGTACAATGAATTCAGCTTAACATCAGACGAAACTGACGCAGCTTGGATCCACCGTTGCCTCCCTGCCCCCTTGTTTTTCCCTTGACTCGTCACTCCTGTGCATGCGTAGTCCTGGTTTTCCTATGAATTTTGAGCAGGAAGGGAGATTTGCAATCCAAACAAGTCTCTGCCTGCAGCTGATGGTTTCCTACTTCAGATCCTTCCGCTGGGGCCTGGATGAACAAATGAGGCCATTCTCACACACACACACACACACACATATGTATGTATGTGTGTGTTCATTTATCAAAATATATATTTTCGTGCAAAGAAAAATGAAAATGGGGCAGAAAAGTGGAAGAGGCAGAAATGGTAAAGGGTAGACGATAAAGAAATGGCTAAATTGACTGCTTTGATTAAAAAAACTACAATTAATTTACTTAGAAACCACTTTTGGGCTTTGTGTTTGAGGTGGAACAAAAGGAATTTTGATTTTGGGTTTTTGCTGATTAGATAGGTTTGTTGTTATAGAGATGGCTAGTATATAAAGGTTAAAGGTTCCCGCACACATACTTGCTAGTCGTTTCTGGCTCTAGGGGGCGGTGCTCATCTCCTTTACAAAGCCGAAGAACCAGCGCTGTCCGAAGACGTCTCCGTGGTCATGTGGTAGGCATGACTAAACGCCAAAGGCACACGGAACGCTATTATCTTCCCACCTATTTTTCTACTTGCATTTTTACATGCTTTCAAACTGCTAGGTTGGCAGAAGCTGGGACAAGTAACGGAAGCTCACTCCATTACGCGGGGTTAGGGATTCGAACCGCCGAACTGCCGACCTTTCTGTTCGACAAGGTCAGCGTCTTAGCCACTGAGCCGCCGTGTCCCTGGCTAGTATATATTATTATGCAAAAGTTAAAAAAAAATGAGGTTGTATGTTATTATCTTATTCTACTCCATCAAAGTCAAAACGTCAATGCTTTCTTTTTTCTTCTCTCCCAAACAAGGGTCTTTTCAACGCAATGGAACAATGGAAAATGAAACAATGGAAAATGAAAGACTCCGACAATCTGAATTCTCTTTCCAGTAAATATCATGCAACCCCTTGACCGATAGCTACTCGTTGGTCCCAAGTACAGACAGTCCTGGACTTACAACAGTTCATTTAGTGAACAAAGTTACTTTATAACTGAAAAAAATGACTTATTGTACACCATTGTAGCATCTCCACATGATCTGGTCACATGATCATTATTCAGATACTCAACAATTGACTCATATTTATGACCTTTGCAGTATCCTGGGATCATGTGATCTTTTATGACCTCCCGACAAGCAAAGTCAGCGGAGAAGCCAGATGCACTTAACAACTGTAGCAAGAAAGGTCGTAAAATGGGACAAAACTCACTTAACAAATGTCTCACTTAGCAACAGAAATGTTGGGCTCAATTATGGTCGTAAGTCAAGGACTACCTGTAGTCTCCTCTCTATGAGTGCTTTTATTAGATGCATGAACACGTTTTTGTTCTTATGCAATGAATCATTTTTCCTATCTGATTTAGCATGCCTGAAATGTAAGAACAAATGTAAAAACATGGGCTGTCTTTGGATTTTTCTGCAATGCAAAGATAATCTCATCTGTTCGGTTTATGAATCAGAGTGTCTTACACCTCTGCTTGTCATTTACATGAAGTATAAAATGTTAGTTTTATATGCACTGTGTTTCTGACTGCATCAGAATGGAATTATTTGCATTCAACATAAGAGGTTGATCTATGTGATACAGAGACATTGGTCTCTGGCACAACTAATCTGTCAGAACTAATCCTTCCATTCTCCCCTCCAGCGTCCAGCCAGAACTTTGAGGTTTCTTGGATGAGAAAGGAAACGTCTTCTTCCTCAAGAGAAGCGAAACATTTTTCTCCTTTCTTTCTTCTTCCTCTTTTCTGACATGCCTATTAGTGTACATTCAAACTGTTAATAAAGTTATTATTCTATTCTATTCTATTCTATTCTATTCTATTCTATTCTATTCTATTCTATCCCATCCCATCCTTTCTCAACAGAACTGAAGAAGCTTCTT